TAAACTGCAATTTCTAAACAGCGTTTACAGAGTTTCAATCAGGGAGTTAATCTAACTTTAATTTTTAATGTTAACAACAATCATACTATTCACAAATACAAATGATTTAATAATTGATTTCAGTGTTAATAATTAAAGAACCTATAAAGTGTGATTTACAAGCCCTAAATGTTTGACACCTATTAAGCAAGATGGAAACATGGTGCAGGTGGCTCTTCAAAACAGAAATAAATCATATGCCTGTGAAAGTGGAATTCCTAAATGTTTAAAGCCACATCCACAGAAGTAATAAATACACAAGGAACAAGTAAAGGCTTAAGGAAAAGACAAGAGACAATGTCTCGGCTGTGGACCCTTTTTCAGCTGTGACTACAGGACAGCTTCCTACTTAAACGTCTTCATAAATACACAATGTTCGCACAACTCCCGTTCTCCCGTTCGCATTCTATCAGTGAGATTGAAATATGTTTTAATATCACTTTGAACTTCACCTCTCCTTCAAAAAAAAAAGGTCTGCAGCTCCAGGGTCGCATTCTCCACCGCTCTGGAGATTTAACAGCAGCAGATCTCTGCTTTCAAAAACAGTAAAGAGCAGTTAACACTGAGAGCAGGAGCACTTCTTTTCACAAAGGGTGGTGGGAGTGTGAAACAAACTGCCCAGCCATGTTGTTGAAGCTTCCTTCAAGAAACAGCTGACTGAGATCTTGGCATCACTTAGCTGCAAACTACCAAACAGGCCAGATGGCATATGGCTGCTCTTGTTTGGAACTTTCTTAAGTTTAATGTCTGTGCAGTCCCGATCCTTGCAAACAACGAACAGGGGAACGGCAATCAGGTAGGGAGACCAGATAAACCCTGCAGGGGCAATCCAGAGTAGCCTGTCACACCCAGCCTGCACAGTTTTGGGAGGCAGGAAGAATCCAGGGCGCATGGCCAGACCCCAACATGAGGATGGGGAGAACAGCCAAACTCTTTCTTGTGCTGACTTCTTTACAGGACAGTAAATGTCCCTCTGGTTTGCAAATGCTTAGTAGCTCAGATTGCTGGACAGCAGGTTTCACACACATATTCCACCCAGAAGGTATTTTCCATTTCCCTCCAAGGGACAGTTGGGAGAATTGGATGGTATAACTCCTACTCCTCCTCTTCACTTTTCCGATTTCCAACCTGGTTTCTCTTTTCTGTGTTATTTTTCAGCCTTTTGAAATGGAAATCTGCTGCCGCCAGCTCCCCTTGCAGGCACTCAGCCTGTTTTTCAAAAGCTGCCTTAATGGAAAATAACAGCGCTATCATGGCGATTGACAATGGAAAGAGGCTCAGTAGCAACACAGACACAGACGCAGCAGCACAGAGCGCTACAGATCAGATATAGATGGAAAGGCTGCTGCTAAACTCTGTGGGTTCCCAAGCACAGCATTAAGAACACAAAGAGGGTGGCCAGGCAGCTGGTACCTAATTGATCCCCAGATCTCATCCATCTGCTTCATGACGGATCCCCAGTTTCACAGAAGTGAGTGGAAAAGACCAGACACCAGCAACTCTTTGTGCAAAGAGCAGCCACCTGTTTTCAAGCCTCTGTGCACCTGGATTTCACTCCCACAGCCATCCTCTGTCTTTGTTTTACGGTGTGGAAAAACAACATTGAACTGCCCTCAGTAAGATCACAAGCCATGCTTTCACACTTTTCACTGGTACAGACGCAACCCCAACTCTGTTTTGTTGAACTCTTTAACCCACTCTTACTTTTCTCACAACTCTTCAGACAGGTATAACTATATGAGCTTTTTACCTGTCTATCTACATCAGGCCCTGTGTGAGGAATCAAAACTACCCAATACAGCATTGTTTGGTTTTGTGCTTTGTCTTGTGCAATGCATCCTTTATAAGTCTCTCTATGGAGGTTTTAAATTTTCACACATGCCGCCCTTTTCAAACAGTTAAATATATTAATGCAAGTATAGCGAAGTAAGTAATATTATAACCCCAATAAAAAAAAAACAACAAAATAATTTTCAGAATTCTTTGAAATTGTCAGAAATAAAACATCCACAACTCTTCCAGCTTTGTTTAGAAATGGATGTTACTTCACAGATAAAATGTGTAAAGCAAAACACAGCCCACTTCAGTATTTTGCTTTACACATTTTATCTGTGAAGTAACATCCTGAATTTGGTTTGATCAAATGTGGGATCCACCGCACACGCTCAATGCATTAATGAACGAGTCCTCAGGTTTCTAACCTACAGGGTGTCTCCCAGCTTGTAAATACTCAGAAGTCCCTCGCAGCTGTTGGAGAGCGAGCCCGTTATACTGTAAATACCACTGATCCCTAAGAAAACATCACGAAGATAAACATTTGGTTGAAAACAGCAGATACGCTCTCTCCAGATTAAATAAAGCGAGTCTCCAGCCACAACAGTTTGTCTCTAGTGTCCTGCTGTTTCTAGGAATGAGGCGTCTATGAGTTTACAGTAAGTGGTGTGACCGAAACACGTCGAATTCCAGCGCTAAACAGATCAATCAGTACAGCCTTGCACACAGCGTTCACAAATTAATCACGGTTTCACTATTAAACATACTGTACAGCCGGGACCACACAAACGGCTATAACATTTAAAAACTGCTGTTCAGAAGTACACCGAGTCTTTCAGCCTTGTTTAAACTCAAGGTCTGTCGTGTCTAGGGCAAAGTAAGAAACGTCAAGAGAATAATATGAATGAAGTCAGTCAATAATAATTATTTACATGAGTATATAATTTATAGTAGTAGTAGTATAGCCCTTTCCATCCCAAAGCGCTTTACATACATGTGGTCTGAGCGAACCTTGCGAAAACAGCCTCTCAAAATGACCTGTCGTGTTCGAGTCCGCGCTGTGACTCGTCAGAGTCTGTGCGGCCAGTCGCCGTGAAAGCCCACTCCCCACGACCAGCAGCGGCCCGTGTTTGTCCGGGGTCATGACCCGCGAGGGCTGGCTGTCGGGAGAAACCTGCACCGCTGAGGCTGTGAAACACGAGAACCCAATACTAACCTGTCACAAAAACAAAAATACCTCAGAAAACAATAATCATCTAAAAGTTTATGTGGAATATTTTTTTTAAACTGTGTAGGCATGAGTATACACATTTTTGTTTTTAATTTAACACAGATCCAGGGAGTTGAAATATCTGTACCCGAACTTTGCATTCATAAGTAATTGCAGTCAGAATCCAGTCCTCTCTCATGGCTTTTCTGCCCTGGCTGTCAGAATCACCTAACTCCAGTCCTTTTGGCCCAGAGTGCCCCATGACCTCAGCGTGGAAAAAGAGCTTGGGTTTGAGCAGGGGATGGGCTTGCCAGGCACTGACTGGGAAAGATACTGATAGACAAGAAATCAACACAATTCTACACTAAATGTAATACTTAGATACAGCTGTAATTAAGATGATGCACTAACTTGTACATGAAAGAGAAGCACCAGCCCCAGTCAGCTCGAGAGCCAGGCAGAGGAGGCAGAATACTGCCTGCACACTGCAGTCCAGGCTCTGCAGACACAGACACAGAAACAGTGTGCAGAGCAGAGAAGCAAGACCTCGAGATCCACAAAGACATACAAGCTAGTTTGATGATAAACCAGAATGCTGTAGTCGGGAGGCTCTGCTCTTCTCGAGCGTCTGACTGTCTGAAGATAAAGTTTCCTCTAGTTTAACATGGAGTCCCAGGGCTTGTGCCAGCCATCGGCTTTGCTTTGTTACATATTCCTGCTGCTTCCTCACCAGCACACCACCAGCACCCTGTGCTGTACCATGACTTTCGCCATTACTTCTTTGTGCTTTGCAACACTTCCCTGTGGACAGGTACTGAGGGTTGCTCCTGTCTGTGCTGGGCTGCCTGAAGATAATGGCCGGCTGTGCTCTGCTGAGAAACAAGGTCACAGGAGCAAACCTTGAGAGGCTGAAAGAGCCTAATTTCTTCATGAGTTCACAGCCTGTCACTCAACTTTTAAAAGCTCAGAGGAAGCCTTCTGTTTGCCAGGGACTTCTTTATTTTAAATGATTTATTATGAAGTTAGTTGGCTGATGAAGCTCACAAAACATACTTTGAACATTGGTGAGGATTTCCTGTTTTTGTGGGTGTGCTCAGTAAATGTCATTTTTGCACCATTTTTGTGCGCCAGATCTTGTGGTGCTGAAAGGTGAAACTTCACCTCCGCCTCCCCACCTCCACGTCATTCAGATGACATTCTCATCCAGGCCTCATCTTGGCTGAAATCGGCAGGTGTCGTATCTGGGGAACGCCTCTTTGCTATCAGTAAAAAACACAACTGTCTATTTAGTGAGAGATCACCTGGAGTGGCTCTAGACGTTAGAAATAGGGGATTCAGCACATGAGGAGAGGAGCCATGGTAAATATATTGGTTACCTTTGAAACCAGTAAGGTAACTGATTGTGTAAATTGAGTCTGGAAATGAAGTTTTAAGAGAAAGAATTGTTACATCACAGATAGTCACAGGTATCTGTACAGCCAGGTCCACCCCCAGCCTCATGAACTGCCTCCAGTGGCCACAGAAAGATGGAGGCGTCATCACGAAGCAAGAGGGTACGAGGTTCAAAGAAGAGAACTTTGAATCAGTATTTTTTAGGATCTAGAAACACGTCAAACTCCACATACTGTAAGTTTACATAATTACACATAATTAGCTGAACTGGTCACATGAGATCTGTGGGAACAAACACCTGTAGACCAGGTTGTTGATCCCTGATTCACCCAGAAGAAAACAATGATATAACTAGATATAACAATGACTTTAGTTTACTACAGTAAACCCTAAAATAACTTTTAGCAAGCATGCAAGATGCTTGGACATAAAAAGAAACACAATAAACAGTGCAAGTCTCACATGTAAAACCTTTGGCGCTACAGTCTCTCTAGAGTAACTTTCTATTGTTCTGATTACAAACAAAAATCTTCTGGTTCACAGCTGTCCAACCTGGAAAGAAATCATTCTCAGCAAGCATAACCCATTATTATTTGATCAGTTTTTATTGTAGGATCTACTTCTGTATAATTAAGAAACAAAATTACAGAACCACCTCATTTAAGTTTCTACTGTGGACACAAGCCTGTTTGGGAAACCACACCATAGCTCCCTCTTGTGGCTGCAAGGCTGACAGCCTATTCTTATGCCTTCCTGAGAGATCTCAGATCATAGGGGTGTCATTGGGAAACTGGCTCCAAGGGAGACGCGGGTCCCTTCCTTTTTAAAATTACACCAAAGTCACATGTTAACAGCACAGTTCTCCAGAAAACAAAACAACATTCAAGAAGTACTCAGTCATGTCTTGAAATCACAGCCCTTGCAATTATTTTTTTTTCTTAGTTCTGTATTTACGCAGGTAGTTCTGTGCTTTCTTTACTTTCTTCCACTTCAGAGCAAAAGCTTGACAAGCCTCTTTGTCCTTTTCAGGAAGCAGGCCGCAGAAAAAATTGGAACAGGACATGTGGAGCCACAGAGAGCATGAAGGAGCCAGTCTTTCACACACTTCTACTGCCTGGGAAGATCACTTCTCCTCTTACAGCAGGAATGATCTTTAAGACAGATGCAGTGTGTAACAGCAGAAATTAACACAGGTACAGAAAGCATTTCAAAGAGGAGATGTTGCTTGCTCTCTGGAAACTGAGCTTTTTACACCTGATGCTTCAATAAGCCAATAGTCTTCCCTGCATACACTAGCCAAATAACCTTTTTGAAGGAGTTACAGACAAAATTACATAGAATTAATCAATGGATGATGTGTTTTTCTGGAGAGCATCTTGAAGAAAGATTTTCTGGTCTCTTTTTGTGTATATTAATATTTAATATATTAATGCTATCAAAGCTGCAATACTGCAGTGAAACTGGAAGTCCTGTACTGGCACCTGGGTGCCATGTCGCCCACTGGAGTCGGACAGACCCAGACGACTCTGCCATCACTTTCTGTTTTCACTTTGAGGCAGGAACTTTTTTAACACTGCAGTGGGTGATTGAAGGCTGCGTGTGCTTAGAAGAGGGAACTATACATACAGGAGTTTCTTAGAGGATGAAGAGTTAGACCACCAACACCCCCACAGTAATGATGTTTCTCATACTTGCCCAGCTCCTCCCACATTGGAATACAAAGGGTAGCCAGTTAGTCGTGCATTGCTGAATGTTTATAAAAGAGAAATTAAGGAAGTCATTACAGTATCTGTGGGTGTCAGTGGAGGAAAAGTGCTCCTAAAAGGCTCCTGTTCAGGAGTGTCCACATTCATGAAAAGCAAAACCCATCTCCTGCATTTTTCCAAGAGCCGTGGGAATAAGCAGCTGCAGCAGTGGACAGACCTGCTCTGTGAGCAGACTGAGGAGTTGGGGCGGAGTGTACAGGACGGACGCTCCCCCCACTCTGGCTACAAGAGGCCTCTGCTCCCAGTCCATGAGACGTTGTTCTGCCTCTCCCTGTGGCAATCCGGCATTTGATCATGGTTTTACTTTGTTCTTTCCCATGTTTTCCCAATGGGGTTACCAAGCTCTGGATAATGACGAAACCCAATGATTTTCCAATTAGAAAAGTTTATAGACAGTAGTATTTGTAGGAATATCAAACTGCCCTTCCATGCATCAGCTATGGAAAAACTGTGTCCTCTCACAGTTAACAGCACCATGCTAAAAGGAAATTCTCCATTTGAATAAGTTTGACTAGACTGTGGCTCTGAAGCTGCTGATGTGCCACTATGTGTGAGAGAGGACGGAAAGACCATGGCCAGGCCTCTCACTAGAGGGACATCTTCGGCTGCAAGAAGTCACTGTTTGGAGACAGGAGAGTGTTGGAGCTCAGTCCTCTGCAGAATGATTGCAGATCCATTGGGCTTTTGCTGTGGACCCATTGAAGGGTCGAGTCCTGTAAAGGGCTGGTTTTGTCACCTCTGTGCATGTCACAACTCCAGAGAGACAGGCGGTGGGCGGGGCACAGTGGACCCGCGGAGCCACTGCGCTCAGAGGATGCTGACCCTCTCAGTGAGCCCCTGCATGTCACTGTCATCCGAGTCGTCACTGCCAGCGGCCGGGGGGGCAATGAGGTGGGGGGGGTAGGGCAGGGTGTGGTCCTGGGCGAACTGCTGCCAGCGCCTGTCGTCACTCTCGTGGGTGATGTAGCGTTCGCCCAGCTTGCACTCCAGCTCCCGCAGGTCCAGCCATGTCTGATAGTCCTGCAGCCCCAGACACAGAGGGAGAGAGTTAAAACCAGGAGAAACAGAAACAGAGCGAGTGGGGCTTAACTCTCTATTTTATTAATAGTTGATCATTTATTCAGTCTCCCTGTTTCTATTTACCTGCTTATCTTATGGAAATAAATGTTTTGCTGAAAGAGAGCTCATCTAACACCGCCACAGACCCATCACTCGTGGTGGTGGAGGGGATCCCCATTACCTGTAAAGCGCTTTGAGTAGAGTGTCCAGAAAAGTGCTATATAAGTGTAAGCAATTTTTCATTATTAACTGCAAAGCCATCTACCTGACTAACAGTACAACAGTGCCTTCTAGTGGTTATTTCCAGGCAACACACACAACAAAACTAAGAGCACTGCTGGTTATCAGCACCACAGGTCAAACCAGTGTGTACCTGCAGCCAGATGTGGCTCAGGGACTTGTCCACACTGTAGCGCTTCCTCATCTTCACCTGCAACAGGTTGTTGATCAGATCAATGGCTGAGGAGGAAAGAAATGTATAACAGAATCAGGCAAACAGTGCTTGTACATGTGTTTCCTTTTTTCCAATTGGTCAGCTTTTAAGATCACTTAATTGGCCATATACAATTTGTCTTTTCGCATACACCAACTTGCTTTCCATGAGACACAAAGACAGGGAGAGAAGCTTAGGGTCAGAGCGCAGAGTCAGTCATTTATACAGCACCCCTGGAGCAGCTGCGGTTAAGGGCCTTGCTCAGGGGCCCAACAGAGTAGGATTCCTCTGCAAGCCATGGGATACGAACTGGCAACCTTCCAGCCACAGGCACAGATCCTTAGCCACAGAGCCACCGTCGGCCCACATGGCCTCAACTATCATTTCTATGCTGATGATACTAGGTATCCATGACACTGATGTGGGGCTGTCTCTAATCTATGTAATTGCATCTCCAACATAAAAACTTGGATGACTCAAAATTTCCTTCATCTAAACTGCTACAAGACTGAAGTCATGCTTATTGGCACCCCCCATCAACTTTGTAAAGCCAGTGCTGTAACCCTATCTGTGGATGGTTCTGTACTTGAGCTTCAGTCTAAATTGAAAAACCTTGGGGTGATATTTGATTCAGGTTTGACATTCGACCCACATGTGCAGCATATTGTCAAAACACCTTTCTTCCACATGAGAAACATTGCTAGACTACGCCCAATGTTATCAATGACACTCTACTCGCTGGGGTTTCCAAATCCACATTGAACAAACTCCAGTCTGTCCAAAATTCGGCACTCAGAATTCTGACCAGGTTTAGTGCAAGTGATCAAATTACTCTTATCCTGGAGTCCTTGTACTGGCTTCCTGTCAAGTATCAAGTCGACTTCTAAATCCTCATGCTCACCTATAAGGCTCTGCATGGCTTGGCACCTCAGTACATGTCTGAGCTACTGTCACCCTACTCCCCACCTCACAGCCTTCACTCCTCTAATTCTGGTCTCCTATCTGTCCCCCAAGCCGTCTACGTTGTATGGGTGACAGGGCCTTCTCCTGCTGCGCCCTGAAGCTCTGGAACTCTCTCCCCAAGGATATCAGAGAGTCACCTTCTCTAAACTCCTTCAAATCCAGACTTCAAACCTTCTTCTTTAGAATAGCCTTTACTTAACTGGTTCTGTTTTTACCCCTATGCTCCTACTGTATTTAGTAACCCCATCCACTGTCTCCTCTAACTGTGTATTCTCATCGTGCTTATCTTGTGTATTTTTCTATTTTTATTGTTCTTGTTGTCGTTCCTTAAAGCGCTTTGAGAAGCCACCTTTAAAGGCACGATATAAAATAAAGTTATTATTATTATATAGAAACAAGTGCAGAATTGAAACAAAGGGAAGTAATGTTTAATGTATTTGTTTGTCCATGTGGAAAAAAAAGATATTCCAATCTTTTCAACAAAAGGCAAATATGAATTAATTGGTCTAAATGATATATCACATACAGACAGGACAAAGGAACTGAGTATCTTTAGTCCTTGCCAGAGGACAGCAACAAGGAGGTTTGATTTTAGTATTTTAAATCCTGAACGGACAGAGTTGAGCTCAATTGCATAATGCTGTGGTACCTTCGGGAGAGATGTGTTTCCAGGGGTTCGGGGGGTACATGAAGGCAGCATTGTGGATCTGGTCATTGATGTCCTCGTCCTCGTTGAAGGGGAAGGTGCCGCTCAGGCTGACGTACATGATGACGCCCACTGACCACATGTCCAGTGAACGGTTGTAGCCCTGGTTCAGAAGGACCTCGGGTGCCAGGTATGCCGGGGTGCCCACCACTGACCGTCGGAATGACTTTTCGCCAATTATCCGGGCGAATCCAAAGTCACACAACTTTACCTTTGCAGACAGAAGGGAGATGGAAAGGCACGGGAGAGAGACAGAGGAGTTTGATCACCACATGTCCATGCGGATTGGGATTCTTATTCACGCTTCTCTCTTGGAAAGTGTACAGTACAATAGACAACACTTTCACACAATGTGCACACATTACAAGACAGCAAACAATAATAAATAATGATCATTCAACAAAGCACAATAATGTACAGCCGGCAATAAAGAGCTATAAAGACACTGGACAATAAATACGTGGTAGTCAAGTAAAAACTATGTGAACTGCCAGTGGGTATTCTTCAGCCTGGTGGTCTGTGCTTTGATGGTGTGGTGCCACTTCCCAGAGCTCAGGGAGAAGAACAGTTTCTGGTCGGGTTCCTGAATAATGGATCGGGATTTACTCTGACTGCAGATTGTGTGAATCTCATCAATTGATGGTAAGTCGCATCCGATAATCCTCTCCATTTTAAGAGCGTCTTTGTCATGTATGGTATTATTTACATACTGTACCATGGAGTGATGGGAAGAGTTAGGACACGATCTATGGTGCTGTGTAAAAGTTCATGATTAATTGCTTCCCATACTGCATTTCTTTAGGTACCACAGAAAATGCAGGCGATGTTGTGCTTTTTTCAGACTGCCTACAGTGTTGTGAGACCAATCCAAGATGGCGGAGATCTGAAGTACAAAGCAGCTCCCACTCCCTCTGGGTCTCCTGAAGTCCACATTGAACACTTTTGTCTTGTTGATATTCAGGGCCAGATTATTTTCATAGCACCACCTTGTTTGATGCTCCACCTCGCTCCTATATGCAGACTCATTGTTGTTACTGATCAGCCCAGTGACAGGTGTCATGAGTGTATATGATAATGTGGTTGTTGCTGTAAGTTGCTGCACAGTCATATGTAAACAAAGAGTACAGCCTGGGGCTGAGACAGCAGCCTAAAGGAGCTCCGGTATTTAGGATCACTGTAGAGGACATATTGCTGTCAGTTTTTACTGGTGCAGCTCTGCCTGAGCTGCAAATGCAGTACCTGTGGGAAGGGGTCTGCTGAGGCCAGCAGCACGTTCTCAGGCTTCAGGTCACAGTGCACAATGTTCTTGAAGTGCAAGTGTCTCAGAGCAGCCAGAATCTGTGAGGAAAAGGCACAGGCAGCACCATCAGTACAACTCTTCCCTCACAGGAGCTCACTGTGGTGAAACTTGTCTAATCATTTCAGCGTCAGCCTGGAGTGAGCCCACGGTGAGAGAGAAGGCACCTGTGTGATGAGGAACTTGGTGAGGCGCTCAGGCAGCCGGCCCTTCTCGCTTGAGAGGATCATCTCCAGCATGTCCCCATGCAGCTTCTCCATCACCACGAACACCTTCTCGGGCGTCTCAAACATGCACTCCAGGTTGACGATGCCCAGGTGGCGTAGGCTCTGCCAGACACAGGGAGAGCTGTGAGTGGTCCCCAATGTTTGCCCCTCACTTTTTATCATGAACTTATCATGGCAATGCCCTGATCTGGTTGAACATCAAAACCAGTTTAATATACACTACAGTAAATATTTCTACGTATTGTGTTATTTGTTCTCACTTCCCTAATGTGATGAATAGAGGATTAAAAAATAAAATACAAATTCACTTCCAAACAGAACAGCTTCCAGATTTTTAGCCATTGATGAAACAGAGACCTACAGAAGATGCAGGATTTGGGCTTTAATTAGCAGATTGGGATATGTACCTTGCCTACCTTCGGCTTCTCTTGGCCATATCTTTAGAATTACTCTACAATTACTCTAATTACCAATAAAGGTCAAATGCCAATTAAAACAAGCTTACAGTCCATATTCTGTTTCATGAATAGTTTTTGTCCCATATCCAGAGTGCAAAATGGAGTATGCTGTTCCAAGCTGTGACAGTGTGTGGCGCTCAGTGAGATTGCACAGGCAGGTGCTAACCGTCTCCCCCTGTGGATTACCTGGAGAATCGCAACCTCATTCCTCAGCTGGCTCTCCTGCCTGGTCGGGAATCGCAGCTTGTCAATCACCTTCACGGCCACATCACGCCCAGTTTTCCGGTGTTTTCCTGGAGACACAACACTCCTTAGTGAAAGATGTAGGAATTCAACCGTTAATTGTTGTAAAAAAAAACTTGCAACAGTTGTAGCAGGTGTATTATGGAAGCATCTACAGGGTAATTCTATTCAAGGTTTTTTTATTGGCATGACAAGATGAAGCACATTTTGCCAATAAAATGTCTACACCTTTGATTTCAGTGATAATCAGACAGAAAAGAAAACAGACATGAAGTAGTAAAACAAATGCAAAAGAAAAATATGGAAAAGAAAATGAACTTTTACTAAACTGCTTCTGTTTCCCTCTGGGTTATGAGAGTTACTGCAGTGCAGTTTTGGATTTGCACAGCCCCCTGCTGCTTTGTAACTCTCCTCTGGCCCAGATGGAGTCAGGTGACGCCAGCTCGTTCACCTCGCAGGCATTAAATAGAAATGCCGCTGAGAGACACAAAGTGTATTTAAAGACATCTGAGTCACCCTTACAGAGCGTTAGCCGCTGTAAACAGAATGCAAGAAAACCCAGAGCTTCACATAATGACAGGTTACAGCAAGAGCTCCTAATGTTCAGACACACTGTGCTCCTGCATTGTCCACAAGAAGAGATATACTAATTGCATTACTGACACTCTACATTGTAAACCTCACTAAGACAAACTGTGTACAGACTGTTTTAAAGACCACAGCCATCACGGCTACTTTTGACAGAGCTGCCTGACAAGCTAGACTGTGACACATTATAGATGATGCGGATTTTCACTCTGAAGTTATTAACTCTGATTTTTGTAATCTCTAAGTGAATGATCAGCATTTGTGTTCCCAGCAGATAGTTTCACAGATATATATTGTATTACATATGAACAAGTACTAGGTTTGTGAAGGCTCACACCTGAAGAAGGCTCCATGGCCGAAACGTTGTGTTTTCTTTCTTCTTTTTTCAGCATGGAATAAACCTATTACTTGTACCTTTGCAGCCTACACATGCTGACGCAGCTACCCACCTGAACTTGTATTACATATGTTTTTTATTAAGCATGTTTTTATTATATTAATAACTTGCATGTTGTATATTTAGACTCCGTGTGCGAGACTATAAATTATTATATTTGACTGATTCCAAAATGTTGTCAAGAGCTCTTATTACAATTTCTGATTGTTACAGCAAATTAAAATCTCAACACCACACACTGCATATAAGCTAATATATTTAGAAGCAGGAAATTAAATTAATAAGATTTTCGATAAAATTCAAGACTGGGCAAACGCTTGGCTTATGACGTTTAATTGAGATAAATGCGTTATGTGGAGACAGTTGTTACACAGAAACCATACTGTATGTACGAAATGGGAAACGCTGAGCTTGCAAAAGCTCTTTTAGGGGAGACAAAGTCCCTTAATATGTGCTTACCACCATAGACCACTCCGAACTGGCCGGATCCCAGCACCTCGTCTGCAAAGATCTGGTAGACCATGCCAATGTCCTGCCAGGCACAAGAAAGACACCCATCAGCTACACACCCCCGTCGGGTCCCCCTTGCGCCTCCAGCTCTCAACCCCCCCCTTGCAGCAGAAGAGACCAGTCCAGCACAAAACACACAGATGCAGACTATCCCCTTGGCAGATCGCCCTGGACTTACACCAGGATTTGTACATCTTTCCCATGGTTTCACTTTGGTTTCAACCATGCCTTCACTGGGTGGTGGGGACTGCACGGAGAACTATTGCAAGTGTTTATCACAGGATATTCCCTTGCTCAAGTAAATTCAAACACCATGAGAACATGCTGAAACTACAGCAAAATGGTGGGAAAACTACAAAATTCTGATAGTAAGTTTTCAAGGTAGAACTTTTCATTAGGGAACTGAGAGCAGCAGTGTGTCCAGGTCACCATCCAGCGTTCAAGCAAGGGAGACTCAAGGAAATGCCCTATTTTCCTCCCATATTCTACTGCAGTTTACATTACAGCACCTTGGAGTTTGCTCTTGTTAACGAAGGTTGTAAAGCCAATCTGTACGTGCAGGTTTCAGTTTACAGATAAAGAGCCTTCCAAAGATTATGTCAAGATGGAAAGCACTGAAACAGTCCTTGTAGCTGCTGTACATGACAATGTCAGAAGGCATCACATCTTGGTATTGTTCTAATTCCATTTAATAGAGTGAAAACATACAGTATAGTTTAAATTAAGGATACTGAAAAGCACGTTAAAATATTTTGAAAAACAAAGGAACATGGAAATTGGAATTGAAAGGTTAGAGGAACCAGTCTCTGTCACAGCTCGGTCATGTTCTCTCACACACACACCCTCATCTGAGCTTGAGGAGTCCAGGACCGACACTCACCACATTCTCCTGGACCTGACTGTTGGACACGGAGATGCTGACCGAGGCCTGTCCTGGAAAGCACAGCACAGTTACATGAGAATTCATGCACAAACACACTTGTTTGTTCTGCAAACAATAATTTAATCATGTATGCAAAGCTGAAAAGGGTTTGGAAACATTGCCAATTGTGCTGTTGCCTTGCGGCTCACCGTTTGGCTTGTACTCACTGCGGGGGGGGTGTCCCTGTGAAGTGGGAGCATCCTGAAAAATGACAGGCATGAGGGCTTGGCGAATGACCATCTCCCAGGCTTTGGCCACGTCCCTCCCCACCCCACTGTTGGGAGTGATGCTGCTGGAGGCGGCAGGGCAGGGGGAGAGCTCCTCCCCCACAAAGTAGCGCATGGTGCCTGTGACGATCTCGAAGCAGTGAGGGCTGGTGCCTGGAGGAACCAGGCTGAAGTTTTCTGCTGCTTTGACCTCCAGGATCTCTGATAAAGGGATTTCCTGAATAGGGACAGGATAATCAACATTAATTTAATTTGTTCATCTGGCTGACCTTTGTGTAAGGAGGGGGTTTACCATTTGGCTCCACAATCACATGGACACTGTGGTATAGAACAGGTTCTTATAGTCAAGCATGCTAACAAGAAAAAAAAATACAAAGCCCTTGATGTTGTTTTACACATGAACCTGTTGTGCATCAGTCAGGATTGTACCCTGCCCAACATAATTAGACGTGCAAGAAGGGAGGTGAAACTTAACAATGGTAAAGAGTACAATATGAATAGAACATTAGGCACATTAGCCAAAATATTAGGAACTCCTTACCGAAAAATGTGCCAGGCTTCTGTGACCAGTAGATGAGACATTTATATGGAACATTATGGTACTGCTCAGTGCTGCCCCAATTCTTGGAGCATGATGACCTTCATTTGAGGATGAAGTGAATTGACTGCTGTACTGCAGTCTGGGCCCGAGATGACAGACTCTTTCTCATGTTTCTCTAGCACTTCCTGCCATTGACAAAGTCTACTCATTTTACACTATGCGTATACAGCGTGCCTATCACACACTCACATTATAGATTACAGAAGTGCAATCAAGGAAGTGGCTCCTGCAGGAAAATTATTCTTGAATCCTCTTTACATTAAAGCACACTCTCACTCGCAATCTCCGGTCGATCTATATTTAACTAGTTGTCAATGTACAGTACGTACAGTTCGGACAAGCAGATCCATATGAAGGGGACTGTTACCTTGTAATACTTATTGGTGGTGTCATTCTGGAAGAGGATGATGCACTTGCTGTCCAGCCGCCAGTAGTGACGCTTCCTCTGGAGGTGGGGAGGGCAGAGGTCAGAGGTCAGAGAAACAAGAAGCAGTCCAGCTAGAGGTGTAAAGAGACCAGCTGGCCAGGAAGAACCGAGCAGAAAAGGGCAAAAACAAGGGAAAAGAGACAGAAAGAACAAGAGTGATTAGAGAAAGACTGGAAATAGACTGTAAAAGTAGATTAAGGAAGGAATAAAGAATTGAAAGAGAAAAACCAATGGCTCATCTACCAGCTTTTACAAATCATAAGTAGAAAACTGGAGGACCTGCAGTCAAACCTGAGCGAACACTGGTTACACTCACACAGCCTCAGTCACAGCTGGGTGTCTGTGATAACGGCCAATGACTTACAGGCATGTTGGCCTGGTGAAAGAGTTTAATTACTCTTCAGGAACAAGCAGCACGTACCAGTTCTCATGAAATACACAGAGTGCAGCAGGTGAATTTAATTAAGAAGGAAGCCTTTAATAAAAGAATTGAAAAAACCAACATTGTGACAATCCATCCATTCTCAGTGATCTGTTCGTCCTGGTGCAAGATAGGACAGAGCCTACAGCTGCCCCCATTATAGACCCACAGAGAAAGGCCAGTCAAACCTGTCCAGTACGGCTTTGGGAGATGGGAAGAAACTGAGCCCAAGGCCTCTGACACAGTGAAGGCCATACTGGGGTCAGGAACTCTGCAGTATAAAGCTGACTAATGGGATGTGACAGCTTCCAGCATGGGAGGCTATTCCTTCTCAGGATTACCCACTAACAGACTGTGGATGACCAGAACAATTCTGGTACAGTACTTTGCTCAAGGGCACAAGAGCAGAGCCTGCAGCTTGAACTTACTACCTTCCAGCTGGGGTTCACAACACTGAACTTCTGCTCCCCACAGTCCATGAATTTCATCATGGAGAAACAAAAGGTCAAATAAGCCAAGAGCTAAGAAATTGGACAGGGGAGGACGAGTGCTGTTACCAGTGTGTCTTTGTTGCTGTAGTGGACCATCCAGCCCTCCTTGATGGTGGTACTCGACTTGCGTGTCGTCTGCCTCACAGACTGGACCACTCTCATGAGAGGAATATAGCCCATAGCACTGGGAAAGAATTGATCATTTTATTTCTTGAATAAAGAATTAAATTATTATCCCAACACATTTCTAACAATGCTGACCAAAAATAATGAGGCCTAAACAGTTAAAGAGAGATAATGCAAGCTCAGCAACTGAGTATAGACAGCATATATAACACATTCTCGAACACTGAGGGACTTTAAGAGCGCCTGAACGAAACATGAACTGAAGTTCATGGTGAAAGAGGACATGCAGGCACAGCCACTCACCTCTGGTCACAGCTGGTTCCACTTAGGCTGTCCTCTGGGAAATTGTTCTCCGAGTGTGATCCCGGGATAATTCCAGAGTCATCAGAGTCATCCATGAGGGAGGATTTGTCAGAGTCTCCAAAATCACTGGTGAAGTCCATGACCACTTCAGGGTCTACATTGGGGCTCAGCATGTCTGTAGGAAAGGATCTGTGATCATTACCCCATACTATCCTACAACACCTTGGGTGCCACATTTTCAAAAATCATTTTCTTTTGCATAACCATTTTTTGATGTTTAGCTTATGAACTCTGCATTGCTTGTTTAAAACATTAGAAGAGTTTGCCTTACTCTGTTATAGCTCGTACTGGTATTTGTCTCTGAAGATAAATGGTTTTTAGCTTGTTTTTTACAACACAGAAAAAAAAAGACAAATGTCTGTCGATAATCAGAAGCAATGAATTTAAATAAATAATGTACATTTGAAAACAGGGCTACAGTATAGCTTTAATTTCAGAGTCCAGACAGTGCTAAAGTGCTGCAAGTGTAGATGGACCACTAGCACAATCACATCTCCAGAGGAAACCTTTCTTGGGGAACAGCTAATCACCAGTTGTAGGTGTCAGTGTCTGTGACACAGCACCCCTGTGTAAAGGGCTTGGAGAACACCCCAAACTAGGAAAGATACCAGAGATCCTCAGCAGTTCCCTTACCCCCATTAATGATGGTCTCTCCCAGGCAATCATTGGGCACCTTATAAGCACAGCGCTTGTGGCAGTTAAACTTGCAGTCTGCAGGGAAGGATCAGAGGAAACACATCTTGATAACAGTTGTCAGTAAATGGTAAAAAAATTGTAATAGTAATAATTAACTTTGTAGCAAATACAAAAAAAAACATGTTCAACATTTATTTCAAAAGATTGTCTCATTACAGTGATCGAAAGAAGAAAGATAAGAGTGATTGATGGGTGGACTGGCACACAGTTGAGCCAACAGACTGACCTTTGAAAGATGGACAGAGAGGCCAACAGATGCACATTCAGAGGGGCTGACAGTTGGACTTACCCTTGCACTGCAGACCCTGCCTGAAGAGCCCGCGGAGCAGTCTCTTACAGTACTGGCACACCGTGGGCCGGGTGTAGGAGTGGATGGCGAAGGTATGGGGAACCTTCACCTTGGACAGCAGCATCTTGTCCAGTTGGATGGGACGTCCTGAGTAGAAGCGGCGTGCCGGGGTCCCTACCTCACTGGGAGTCCGGGGCTAAGGGGCAAAAGAGATTAGTCAGAAGAGGAAGTGCTGCAGAAAGGATGGTTAAGACAGGAAATGAGGAGGTTGTAAATGAAAAGAGGACATTCAGTCCATCTTCTTTGTTTGGTTTCTAGTAGCTAACTGATCCAAAAATCCTGCCTAGCCAGTTCCTGAAGAATCACTGTCTAGTTCAACACCACAGCTAGAGAACTAGCAACAAACAGAGTCGGTGTTCTTCCAGTGTGTGGCGGGACAGTGTATTCTTCAGAAACCCATCAGACGTCAGATGAACTGAGGAGTTGGGAGCACAAACAAGAGCAGAATTCAATTTCAAGCTTTATTGTCCCCTAGGGGAAATTTGTTTTACGGCACAGTCAAACACAACACTTATATTTACTAATTTACCCAGCCTATTACTGTTACCGGTACTTATGTTGCCAAACCGACAAGTGAAGCAGTATGTTAAGACACTTTCAATAAATGATTTGTAGAAGAGTGTAAGAATAGTTTTATCCACCTTTAAGTAAATGAGTTTTCTAAGGAAGAAGAGTCTCTGTTGGCCTTTTTTATAGATCATGTCACAACATTTGTCCCATTTCAGGTTATTGTCAATGACCAGTCCCAAGTACTTATAGTCATCGACATTTTCAACAGGCTGACTATCAATTATAGTGGGTTGGGTGTGTGTGGTGTGGTATTTTTCCTAAAATCAATAACCAGTTCCTTTGTTTTTGAAACATTTAACTTTAGGGAGGACTTGTTGCACCAGTTAGTAAAATCATTAAGGATGGGCCCATGATGGTATTCTGTGTTCTTTAATAAACTGACCAGAGCTGTGTCATCAGCAAACTTAATGAGTTGTCTATCTGTGTGTTTGCTTTTGCAAGTTACGAAGTCTAGGACCCACCTTATCAAGTTCTCATTCAGATTGAAGTGCTTTGAGAGGTTCTGTGCACGCAACAATGGTTGTATTGTGTTAAAAGCAGAGAAGAAGTCAGCAAATAAAATCCTTACAAAGGTCCCTGGTTGGTCCAGATGTTGACAGACCAGATTTTACAATTACATCGTCTACTCTTCTCCTTTCCCTGTATGCAAACTGAAGGGGGTCGATGAGGGTTTGTATGCTCTTTGGGATGTGTTGTTTCACTATTCTCTCAAGAGTTTTCACTGGGAGAGATGTGAAGGCTACGGGCCTATAGCTGTTAAGGCCACTAGGCTTGGCAGTTTTAGGAATAGGAATAATGATAGATTTCTTCCACAGAGAGGGAATGATCTGGGAGTTTAAGGACATCTGGAAGAGAAAACTAAACATATTACAAAGCTGATCTGCACAAGATTGTAAGACCCTACCACACACATTATCTGGACCTGCACTTTTCCTAATATTGATTTTCCTAAAAAACTCTATGTACCTCTGCTGTGTCAATATTGAAGAAAACCTCTCCAGATACAGGCTGAATAGCACTATGAGCTGAGGTGGTTGTAGATCTTAACTCAAAGTGGATATAAAACACATTCAGATCATTGGCCAGCTGTTGCCCATCCATACCATTTAACAGAGGTATAGTGCTGCCACTACGCTTCTGAGGGATATTGGCCATGATTTTAATGCCCTGCCATGCCATCCTGGTGTCACCTGTTGTCATGGCGTTCTCTTTTTTTACCCTGTACTGATCCTTAGCTTTCCTGATCTCCCTTTTCACCTCTCTCTGCACTTCCTTCCTGAGCTGAGTTTCTTCTTGAGAAAAAGCTTGTTTCTTTTTTAGGAGAACATGATTAAGGCTTTTTGTTGCGCAGGGTTTGTTATTGGGAAAAGCCTTAAAGCTTTTGGTAGGGATGGTAGAGTCGACGCAGAAAAAAATATAATCTGATACCACAACAGAAAGTTTAAGAATAGTAAGTTTGCTTAAATCCAAAGGGCATGTGTCTCACCAGGCTGTCTTCAGTGGGGGTACTGGAGGACAGAGATTCAGAAGTGGACAGACGCAGGGACTGGGCACTGTTTAGAGATGTGGTGGACAAACGTCTCTTGCGTGCACCCGTGCAGTTATTGGGAATACTGAAGGCACATCGCTTGTGGTAGTTCAGCCCACATCCTACAGAGGGAGACAGAGACAGGTTGAAAACTCACAGCTACAGCTACTTGATTCTCACTGATTTGTCACTGGCTTACCTGTGAAAAATAAAAAAACACTTTCAATGTTTTGTAAAGAAAATCTGTTTTTACTTGTCTGCTTCATACAATGTAACAAAAAAACAATTGCATCACTATACTTACAAAAACAAACAAGTGAAACAGGTTTTGTAAAACATTAGGCAGTTATTAGACTGACTTTGCGTTCAGTTGGACATGTTTGGACAGGTCAGGCTTCCTCACCATCACACTTGAGACCCTGGCGGACCAGGCCGAACAGCATCTCTCCGCAGTGGTCGCAGAAGGCCGGCGCGCGGTACGAGTGCACATTGAGAGCATGAGGCCGGATCTGGAAATCCTCGAATGTGGCAGCAGCTGGAAGGACAAGAGCAAGCATGAGAAGAATGGAGACGCGTTCCTGAGACTCATGACAGGAGAGGAGCAGTTCAGTCTGCTCAGCAAAGCAAATCACTACCTGACGATCAACACAGACATTTCACACCTCAAATGGAGGACATAGAGAGGCCTGTGATAGTGTAGGGATAACTAAAGCAGTTAAAGAATCAAGAGGCTTCCTTTGCCATCTGAAACCTCAGGAGAATACACAGTCTGGTCTGTTAGCCTGTTCTGCATTACCCTCTTGCTTGCTGGGCAGATAGGTTTGATAAAATAGAAATTAAATCATGCTTCTCAAAATGTTGTTATGGTTTTGCGATCCTGCTACTGCTCCTTGCTATTAACTAACATATTTACTCAATTGTATGGCTGTTTCTTTCACCTCGTGTCTACCTGAGGCAGGAAGGATAAACAGAAAACCTGCTGAAGTCTAGATTTCTGGGAGGTTATAGCAGGACAGCCCTGACCCTGCAGCACTCGATTGTCCCTTCTCACCAAGAGCAGCTCTACTGTGCATCTGAGAGAGCTTCCTCCAGGTCCCAGCCGCAGCTGCCAGTCAGAGCTGAAGGAAACCTCTCGCAGACGATGAGTCTCAGCCCTCTCCTTGCAGGTGGCCGCAAACAGGAGATGTGGGGGTGGATGGTAGGTTTTCCCCCTTGGGGTGTCCACAGGACAAGAATAGAAAGGGCCCATCCCCCAAAAATAACAGAGCCCGACTCTACTCTAACCCACCCAAGAGCCAGCCCACTGCTCTCTGGAGGCAGCAGGGTCACGGTCTGTTAGGGTGTAAATAACACACGATAATAGCAACCACTGTCAGATTAACTGAATAATAGTAACAGAAGACTCATCTTTACCACAGCTTGAAACACACCCCTAACCCTGGGATTTCTCTTGAAAGGGTTGGTTATATCCGCTTCTAAAGCCACTGATTAAACAATCATACCTGTAAGCAGGTGGCTCCACCTCATGAAACTCAATATAGTGCAGAAGGCGCCTTTAGCTGCCAAATCTTCTTCATACTCCAACACAACTTGCTCTAAACTTAACTAAATTAACACCAACTTACCATTGTTGGTCCCTTTACATCCCCACAGTCTAAATTACCCCATGTGAGATTGTAGCTCCTTGGATTGTAATCCACCACCACAACTAAATATCAATACACCGCATGTTAACCTACTCATAGACAACAGAGGTCTTAATGGTTGGTACTTACACCTGACCTTCCTCCCTTTATAGTGCCTTAACCATCAAGTAGTATTACTACAAGCTACGTGCATAACATGCAGATTAATGGTGATGCACAGTGCTGTTGATAATCATGTGTCCATTTTGTTCAAAAATTTAATTGACAATGCAGTAATGAGTTTAAAAGTGTTTTCTCATGGCCCTGTATTGAATAAACTGGTTAGAAAATGAAGGGATGGATGTACACAATGTGTCAATGGAATAGTTTTGCTTTTCTTGAAAATATCAGAATATGAATCCAATAACATAATTAAGATGTAAAAATACTGTAAAATAAAACAATGAGATAACTTTCATAAACACCTTCAGTGTTTATGAAGCGGGTATTGATTAACAAGTATTGCTCAGCCTTTATGTATTAACTTGGAAAATAATATTTCAGCTTCCTTCCAAATTCAATCCTGATTGCCTTAAGAAATTCTGCAATGATTTCAGCACCTTTAACAGCACTACATTCAGTGAATCTTCATTTCCACAAAACAACAGTACTTGGAATTGTACTCTGATGTGTTGTATGTGACCCAGGAGACAGCGTTATAGATTGAGTACAGTCTCTCTGTCCAGTTACAGTACATCTTTTTTCGATTGGACAATGTTCTAACTTCTTCATAGCTGCAAAAAAATTGCCACCTTACAGTATGTTATGATCATATTATGTGTATTATCTGAAACAAAACCACTTACATTTTTACAATTCAAATGTAATTCAAACATGTTTAAACATGAGATGATAGCCAGTGCTACTGTGATGAACGTTTTTGTAGATACTCTGTGAGATTGAACGCAAATTCAGCCATTGGTGTTCAATGCCAGACTGCTATTGTGCTTGTTCGGCCAATGATGTTCTGTGACAAATGAATATTTTCTCATGCTTTTCTATAAATTGCCTCAATGCCTGATTTGAACTTATAAACCTGGAACATTAGTTACTGTTTAGGTTCTAATTGAATAATCAATCACAGTTCCTGTGTTCAAATTATAGTGCCTGCAGGGTCACCTGGAGGATAGTGATTGGGAGCCCTGAAAGGCATGTAGTCAAGAAAAGCCCAGTGCCCTTGTTTTAACCGTTTATAACACGTAAATAAATAGCTTATACTTTATTGCTATACAACAATGTGTGATTATATTTCTAAATAGTTCTCAATAACAGGAGCACTACATGGTGATCCTGATGTATTTACAGCTATTTTAAACTTAGGGGCTGTGATCACAAAAACAATTAAGTACAGTTGGCTAGTTTCACAGCTCCACTAGGTTAGCTGTGATCCAGTGATGAAACTAAACTAAATCACAATCAATCAAATGATCTCTCCATATGGAAAAAGGAACTACACAGCAGTTTGCAATACTGTATTTTCAGTGTCACAGCAAAACCGTAGTTTAAAGGAAACGCAGGTAGATTTCTGCTTCTGTATTGTCTGTGCATGCAGGCTCATTTCGAGGCTGATGAAATGAGTGGCAGCCTCACAGCCAGATGCAAATGAGCAGCTGAGATGGTAGCTCTGAAACCGCAAACCGCCAGCACCCGCGGGACCTTCCTCTCACTGAGCGCTGCTGCTCCCTCCCAGACTGTGCGACTCTGCACTGCTGAGGCTGTGCTCTTTCTTTTTCATATGCCATCCAGGAAGGAGATCCTTGGGGCTCATAATTTTATCGAGCTTTACACTCTGCCAAACAAACTAATGGAATGCAGAAATCAGATATTTCTGTAAACCCATTCTGCAAAAACCCTCATTCAAAACATACAATATAGTTATTCAAAATATATATATGATAACATGCTTTCCTTGTTTCTTTAGGAACGCAACACAATCGGTTTTGTCCCACTAAAGATTCTATAAAATGGTGGTACTGATTGGTGAAAGGTAGAATTAACAGCTTGTGTGCGTTTAAATGAGACTCTTGTAGGAAAATGATGCTGAATGCAAGTTTACTTGCTGTGCTCTGCAAGGATCACCTAACCTCTGTCTTCAGGGAAATGAAAATCAGCATGAATGCACACCATTACCAGAGACTGACTGCGGGAAAACAGCAGAGATAAAGTCCTGATATGTGGAGAAAATGGGGGATGTTCTGCATTGGTAGATTTTTAAAATTATATCGGCAAGATTGTTAGAAACAATGATTGAAGTGGGCATTTCTAGTGGCTTAGGATAACAAAGAGTGCTTTGACTGCTCTCTGAAGTCCTAGCTCTGCTCTCAAAGCACTGAACATGCTTCTGGAGGCCTGTGTAGTCCCATAATCAACGCTAATGAGGGGAGAGGGGCTTCAGAGCCTTTTCCCTAACGGGCAAGTAATGAGAGAAGATCCCAGCTTCCTTCCCCATGGGGTACACCATTCAGAGCTCCCAGACAACTCTAACATGCATGTCTTTAGGTGGTAGGAGGAAACCATACCACTCATTGAAAAGCCAGAAGAGCACAATGTGCAAACACCACACAGATGGTCATTTAAGGCCAGAACTGTACCCAGGCTCCTGAAGCTGTGGAGCAATGGTACTAGCTACCATGCCAATGTGCTGTCCTGTTAACTCACCATACATTTCACAAAGCCATCAATTAAAAAAGTATAAAAGCACAGCATTTCAAAGGCACTTGCTATATCAAATGATGGTACTATTGTAAGGATGATTTTTTAGCTTTGCCTAAATGTCAGGAGTAAATCCACATATTCTATGCTACCCTAGCTATTTAACTAGGACATGGTTGTGACTGACACATTGATTTTGACTGGATGAATAAAACAGTAAATTAACTGGGTTGGAAAGCAGGACAAGGGCTGGAGAGAACAAACACAGTACTGGCCAGGTGGTGAGAGCAGAGAGTTTGAGTTTAGAGTATTAAACACAAGGTATTTGCTGTTCAGATATAGCTATGCCCTCACATCATCAGGTGTAGGAAGAACAGCAGGGAATCAGTTTGAAAAACTCTGTGACAGTGTCGAGTGAGGGATGTCACAGGGACGCTGTGATTTAGACCAGAGGAGAAGGGGCAGGTACTCACCGGATAGAACCACCTCAATCAGATCCCCCTCCTGGATATCAGAAGCCGTTTTCACCAGCTGCAGGATGTTGTTGCTGCCAGTGTCATGCTTGAAGAGCAAGATCTTATCGTAAATCCCGTAGAAGCCGCACTCAGGAAACTGATGGAGGAGAGAGAGGGGGGAGACTCACATCAGTCTCTGTGTGCCGTTTAACGTGTGCTGCCTGTTTTTTAATGACAGCTGCCAATATTTGCTTGACAAAGTTTATAACCTGCTTTCCAAATAAAATCCATCTAATTTTAAACGAAGGAATTTATGCTAATATACATGTTGGAGAAGGGTCGACACACAACCAGATGAATCTTGAGGTGGCAGAGGTATCTGTCTATGCAGATGAGGAGACATGAAAGAAAACTGTAAAATCCTGAAAAGTACTGACAATTACTGCCATGGAAACTAGTTCAGAATACAAACAAGACAAAATAAGGAACCAAAGACATGAGTAAACACAATGAGGGAATGAATTTAGAATGGAGTAGAGAAAGGGGTTTGGGGGATCAAGTTGCCTAGCACCATTGCTGAAGTAGATTCCCTAAGATCCTTAGAGAAATCGAATGAGCAAAATGAGCCTGTGACTCCTTCTTTCCTGTAACCTATACTGTGTTCTTGTGCTGTAAGCCTCTTTACTCACTAGCTTTTAATATACTGTACATAACACTACAATCACTGATGTATGTATATACAGTATGTAGATATATTGTTTAGTTAATAAAGGTAAAGAGTGGTTCCTGATTGTGCACAAGGGATGTTTTCCTCATTTTATATTGATTCATTAATTGCAGTTGGAAATAAAACAATGGCAAATAAGTGGCCAGTTTTCTACACCGGAAGAGGAGTAAAATGTCAAATGGCATAAAAAAGTATCATTTTTAATGGACTCTGCTTCAGAAGCGTCTTTACTGAGGAAATGCCACACCGCCTGCACAGCTGGTTAAACTGGGGGTTCCCCGCCCTGCTCCTGGGGGACTTATCTGTCTTTTGCTTTTTGCTCCAGCTGAGTTCTTAATCACAGGCTAATTCATTTCAGTTTTCTGTTTGAGATATCTATATCTGCTTTCTTGAAATGTTGAAAGGGATGTGTAATCGGTTTCAGGTTTGTTCCAATTCCTAAGGTTCATAACACTGCTGATCCAATGTGTTTTCTGAATGTAACCAACAGGCCTCTGCAGAAGAGGATAGTTTTCTCACCATATGCTGATTACCTATTAAGAGCTTTTTAGTTAGAAATCGGGGGAAGAAATTTCGGAACAGGCTGATTAATGTGTTGAGCTTAGAAACAATAATCCTGAAATCAAGTATTTTTGAACTTCAGGGCTCGGGAAAGAAAATGTCAACTGAAAGCCTGAACAAGCAAGCAGATAAGTTAAAGGTGTCCACCAGAGAAACATCACCAGCACAGCTGTCTGTCAAGGGTTAGGAACCACCATGTTAGACAGCGACTGTGACTGACCTCATTCTGCTGTGACGTGAGGTGTTAAATTCCACGGACCTGTGATGAACCTGCTACTTCTGTTACACTGGCAACGCATTAGAAAGAGCACATTTTGGGCTAAGATTCATCAATTAAAACTGTCAGCTGCTGCTGAATTACTGTATGCAGCTCCGGAGGTGCTGTTGAATTCAAATCAGTGCACAAATTAATTCAGTGTTTTATGTATACAGCCTTATGATACTGAAGACATTAATAATGATCTTTTTTGTAAGGTCTCAACAAGAGTGGAAAGTTTCCTTTCCTGTTAAACCACTAATTAGATGAGTGAAGCAGGTCAGGACTTGGTGAAGAATGAGCTGGGATACTTGGCAGCCCTTCTGAAATAGACATTGACACTTATCTTCTTAAAATGTTAAGAGACAGGTGAAAAAAATCACTAAACAAAAAATCGCTGCCCAACTCCTAACTTTTCATCCTGCATCTCTGGCTTCCCTCTGGGTCAGCTAGCATGGAGTCCCCACATGATGGTGCCCCAACCCGCTGGGGGGCGCAGCCTGTGGTAGCTCCTGCAGGGGGGGCACACAGGAAGGCGGCTTGCTCAGGGCTTGGAAGCAGAGATTGAGGAGGGCATTGTTTTCTCACCGCGCCCGAGGGCCAAATCTACACCCCACCTCTCTCCTGTTGTCACACAATGTTGCTTCCTAACAGGCACAGACGAAAAACAGTTCCCCGCACTGCAGCTGCCCCCTTCCATTAAATCAGACAGGCCTGGAAGAGAACTTTCTGTGATCCCCAGCGTGAAGACCCCAGCTTCAGCAAAAGTTCAGTTCATCAGGAGATTACACAGAGCTAAACCCAAAACGCTATGGTTTTGGAGGCTTATTTGCCACTTCCTTAAATTCTCATAAACTAAATTTCCACTTAATCTTCCCTTTAAGCATCAGCTAAGTGTTTTGACAAAAACCCAATTGAAATTGAAATGTTACGTTAGGAGAAAAACATCCATATTTAAAGTGTCTTATGTAAGCACGACCGGAATTTGTACTAAGAAAAGGGCAGTTTCAAAATATATACAAAAGACACATAAAGACTAAGTTTCAGATGCCTGGTAGCACCTAAAAAGGTAGTCTTCTAACTTAAAAGTTAAAATCCTTAGAAGTATAGCCAGGTTTCCTTTCACAATCTCAGAGTTGATTCATAGGTAAAATGGTTAAACAACAGAATGTTTGTGCAGAGCTCCTGGCAACGGTTACTATAGCTACTCCTGCAAGCAATCCAGACCAGTTTGGCAGGTGCTGACCTGATGACATCACTGGCTGTGCTCAGGTGTGGCTGGTAAAGAAACACATAGTGTGCTTTCTCAGCCCAGTGATAGCACCCAGTCACACCAATAGTCTCCTCTTTGTTTTGAAGTGGGACATTTGTAGAAAGATGCTTCACGGTCAATTGTGGCTGCACCCCTTGAAACTTAAAGATTCCCTGTGATTTTACCATGGTTTTCCTACAGTTAATTCTGAATTAATTAACTTCTTGAACTAATGATGCAACTGGTAGCTGAGAAGAAATAAATGTGCAAAGATCTTGTAGCTTCTCGAACCAGGATACTAAATTATGATTACACCATGATAAGTACATATTTACATTTTATAGAGTATGCTTTCTCATATGCGGTTAGACAATAATTAAGGTCTTGCAAAGGTCCTTAAAAATTGAAACAACCTAACATCCTTGTATTGAGTCCAAAATATGTCAGTCATGTTTTCCAAACAAAGATTCCAATGAATTAAATAATGAAAGCATTGGAAGCTGGTTAACTATATGGTTTCTAATGAGGAAGATGTTAAAAATGAAAACCTTTAACTACAAGGACATTTAATGCAAAAATATTCCAATATCATTAAACCATTAATAAAACAAATGACAATTTGAGAAAATTTTGTTTGCATTTTTCTGCGCCAATGTAATAACTAAATAAATAAAATCAAGAAGATTCCCTTGAAAATGTAGATTTTGAGTCAATATAGAGTAGAGCAGTTTATTGTCATATGTACATACTGTATGCATGTTTTGGGACATACACGGTAGAGCAGAAGACACAGTAGAACAGATTATTGATGGTAAATTACATCCTATAATCCTTGTGCCATTGCCACAACCCTTTGCAGTGTGTCTCTGTCATGCATGGTAGTACCGTTGTACTACACAGTGATGCCACTAGCGAGGACACTTTCTATGGTGCTGCATTAAAAGCTCATGAGTAGCTGCTTCCCCAAACCGCATCTCTTTAAGCACCGCAGAGAGTTTGTTTTTCAGACTGGCTACAGTATTATGAGACCAAGCCAAGTCGGTGGAGATCTGCAGACCGACAAACCTGAAGCAGCTTCCCCTGTTGTGCCCTCGACGCTGATTGGGGCATGACTCCCTCTAGGTCTCCTGAAGTCCATAATGAGCTCTTTTGTCTTGTTGACATTCAGCCTGATAACTGAGGTGTCATCTGAAAACTTAATAATGTGGTTGGTGCTGTAAGTGGCTGTACAGTTGTAGGTGAACAAGGAGTACAGCCTAGGACTAAGACAGCTGCCTTGGGGAGCTCCAGTGTTAAGGATCACTGTAGAGGAGATATTGCTGTCAGTTTTCACCACTTCAGCTCTGCCCGTGAGGAAAAATTCAGTATCGAGTTGCAGATAGAGTTGCATAAACCCAGATTCCTGAATTTTGGGACCAGCTTGGCGGGAAAAATAGTGTTAAAGGCTGAAATGTAATCTATAAACAACATACTAACATACTGTAGGAGGCACACCTGTCTAAATGTTCCAGGGTTCTAAATGTTGAACATATTGCACAATCATGATATGTGAGCTGTTTAATAATTCAATTCAGACGTGTAAGCTCAAGAAAACACTAAGATTCTTTAACACAATATTAAAAGAGGTTTAGAATAAAAAGTCAAATTACAACCTGGGGCCTTTCTTTAATGCTTTAGCTGAGCTTGAGTGCACAAAATGGATTATACTTCCAGAGGCTGTTGCCAGCAAGTCCTTAGTGACTGACTGAAGCCAAATCATTAACCGAAGGAAAAGAGAAGAGGATTGTGATCTTGTTTTCTTATTAAATCACTTCTTTTTATTTTTCTAAAATGGTCTATCTGCTTCAAAGTACAGCACAAATGCTAGCAGGCACCAGCCAATCCTTAAGTAAAGTATGACCACCAACTACAGTATAACCTCTTTTAATCTTTTATGGCAACACTGGCCTCTGCTCAGCCGGCATGAGGAAAAAGATGTACACAGAAAGTACACAGAAGTCTTAAAAACAAGCAGCCAAGTGGAAAACAGAACCCAATTATTAGTATTAATATTAGTATTCCCAGCTGTGCTGCATATACTTTCTAGAACCTCTCCTCTCCTTTGGAACAGTCCAGGAAGAATGGGATGTCTCATCATCCAGTAAGTCACTCAGCGGTGTACTGTATTGGTACAGATTCCTCATACCACAGCCCCTCCAAGACACCTCCAAAGCCCAACCCTTTGTGTAGGACATGTGCGACATCTATATTTTTTTAATGAAGACTCCCACTCTTCATTAAAAAAATGCCCCAAAAAGTATTTAATACAAGAAATGCAAAGACAATAATGAACAAATTAGTATTAATTATTATGTCCTGCCT